TTTGATTGATATCTCTAAAAAAGCCCTGAATGTGCTCTGTACAGGACATCATACAGGACTTAACACTGTAGCATAGGGTCTCAGAGAAATTCACTAAAATATAATGTCCTCTACAGAGGACAAAAGTCTATGTCTCCCATATGGATTATCAGCCATATTTAAAGACTAAGGAGAAAGTGTGTTTATGATCAAACCTCTAAACATTTGATATCTCTAAAAAAGCCCTGAATGTGCTCTGTACAGGACATCATACAGGACTTAACACTGTAGCATAGGGTCTCAGAGAAATTCACTAAAATATAATGTCCTCTACAGAGGACAAAAGTCTATGTCTGGGTCCCATATGGATATAAATCTACCTGTTTAAACACTGATGTCTCGAGCATTTGATCTGTTGTAGTTCAAGTCAATTCCCCAAACAACCTCCCTCTGCTGTTGTGTTTGTGGTGGGGCTCAGTTTACACTCATACCTGCCCGCCCACCGTAGTGGGATGATCCCGGTTTCATCCACGAACCACAAACGCTCCTCCGGCATTCAGTTCAGAACCAGTGAGCCGCAGTCGAGACAGTAAACGGAGATTAGCAGCTTTCACAAGCGGACACGGATCACGACACACGGTAAGAGCCAACCGAGCACTTATCATACGACTAGTGGCTAATATCCGACCACATCATGTTTAAAGCGACTTTATTTACACACTGAATCCTGTCTAAACCGAAGTCGCGTCATTTTTTGTCTAATTTCGTGTCGCGTGTAAACAAATACATGAGTTTGAAACTATAGTACTGTTCATTCAGTAGAAACTGTCATTGATCTTCATAAAATATTTTATTATCTCATTTTTTAAATTGTATAATCGTATTTTAATTCAGTTTAGGTGTGAATCGGAGAATTATTATTTTATTTTCTGTAACTAATTGATATCACTGCAGCATTTAGTTAGGTTTATGTGGATATTGAATGTATGGGGCAAAGTGCAAAATGTAAATTCGTGTGTTTTTAACAGTTAAGAGTGGTAAATAAATAAATAAGGTGAGGATTTTTATAGGCTAAATGAGAAATGGCCAAACTGTTTTGAAACTGAGTGAATGCAGTAATGTTATTAGTTTTGTAAACGAAACGTTTTGGTGCTTTAATAAATTAGCATATGCATAGAACATGGGTACATTTTATATTACATTATAATGATTTATTAAAAAAATTTCTGCATATGGGTGATAGTGTCTGTAATAACTTATTTAGTCTGGTTGATCATTTACTTAATATCAT